GCCATATCTTTATAGTTTTGGGTTTTTTCGTGTTGTACGTCCACGAGTTTGTATGTATATTTTATTATACATGCTACCTATAGTGTGACGAAACTCCGGCTGCAAATCTTGATCTATATTATCTATAACCAACAGTTTTCGCATCTCCGTATTATATCATAATGTTATGGCACAATAGCGAAGCTAGTAATGATCACCTCTTAAGCTCCGACCACTAAATATACTTATTATTCACAGGTTTTTTTAGGTAGAAATACATTTTTGCACATGGTTTCCCACGCATGTTACGACTTTTAGTTAAAATATGGTCTGTGTGGATAAGTTTAGAAAATCCGATGAAAATCTTGATAAAATAATCAAGTAAAGAGAGATGCATGATGCTTTTTAGATCTAGTAACTATGAGGCCATAACATAAAAATGTATAACATATAAATATCGAGCATTATCGTTGGGCTCTTGGGTATTTTGACATAATGTAACTGTAGTAATGCACAAAAGTGTTGATGTTTCTACCTAGTATAATTATTCATTTGAATCACGGTGCCACCAAACCGAATGTTGTCGATATTCTGTCAAACATGAACATGAAAAGATGTTAGGATATGATTGTTACACCAGTATCATTACACAGGCACGCGCCGATTAATCCCACAACGCACTTAGACAAATATATGATTGATCATTAATTAATTTAAAAAAATAGTTCATTCTACCAGCCAGCATGTACCTATTTATTTTTATTTTTTTTGCTTATCAAGCAAGGCCCAAAATACAAAAATCTATCACATATAAACAATAAATAATGGGATTTAACTTAATAATCTAGCAATTTGAGTAAAGCATTATATACTATTTTTTAATGAATAACTTTGATCTGAACAATTATGGCACAATTAAGGGATAGCAATATAAGAACGGAATATACAAAAGTGAGTTGTAGATCTTTATTGTGGCATTTGAGAATAGTGAATTAGAAAAATAAGCTTTTTAATAAATGCAGCCAATTTCAACCACACATATTTAATGATAAAATACCTACCTAATATCATTGGCTATAAATAAGTACAATATAATCTATACAACTAGACTTAAAAACTACTGAACCAATTAGCACAAGATATTGCACATGTACCTACCTATTCCTAAGAATCATGGAAGATCTATACCTTCGTTTTTCAGCCCCTATAGGTTAGGTTGAAGGGTACCCATAAGGTGAGCCACACATGCATTTCATTTTGGCTTACAAAAATTGAATTTGTATTTAGGTTTATACCTAGGGTTATTGCCATTGGGTTCAGAATTAAAAGAGACTTTTTATGAATATATGAATGTTGGGCCCTGGTGTAGGGCGGTGATTGGCTGCAAGTCACTAATGTGTGGTAAAGCATCATTCGGCGTTGGTAGCTCCCGTATGGATGACTACCTGGGTTTTTAGTGACGAATCCTAGCTCCACATCATATTCACATGTTGCTCAAAATAAACTGTAACACCCCAGACCCACAACAAAACCGTAACCCCTCGCAAAATGCCAATGACCATAGTTGCTGATCACAAAAACAAATTTTAAAAAAGTTTGTAGTTTATAATACGTACATACAAAAACTACTAGAACCAACTTTAACAAAGATTAAAAATGTTCTTAGATACATCAGCAAGATTCAGTGAGTAGTATGAACCACGTTCGAAATATACCAAATACTAAGTATAATAACCAATCTTGGTCGAATTAGTTTACAAAACGAGATACTACAAGAGTCACCGACAACGGTTTTTCCGTGTACTGAGGTACACTAAAACTAAGATACCTTTTTATATACTGCCGTATTTTAAATTAGTTCATTTTTTTCACGGGCGAAGTCAGTTTATACAGCTAGTATATTTAAATTAATAATTATTAATTAATAAAAACTTTTTTCAAAATATGAAATATGATTCCAGATCGTATTAACAAAAAAGGTTGTATTTTTTTATTTAGCCAAACGAATTCTGCCACTTAGTATGGCCATTTCAAGGACACGCAATGAAATTTATAAATTTATAAACCAGCATGGTATTATATTAACTATCATAACCACGCGTTTGAATGATAATAATATGTTATATGGTGACGATATAGCGATGAACGAAATATAATTTCCTATCTTCATTATATTACATATTATCTTAACACGTTACGAATTACGATAATGTGCCACGGTTCTATCTCTCTATATATAAAATATATTACACAGTGTTACCCAAAAAGACAAAAAAGTCTTCATAAAGAATCTTTATACTAATCCTTAAAAAAATATGTCTTGATCTATAAAAGAAAGTGGAATATAAGGAAACAACGCATTTAATAAAAGTTTAAACTAATTATTTCGTTCAAATAGATATAAATATTGAAAATATTTTTTAAATTAATAATTATATATCAATTTAAAAAAAAAATTGTATTATTCAATGGTTTTTTTTAAAAGCAATTCTTGATTCTCGACGTAATCAAAAAAATCCGAAGTTAAATTGTTTATAGTTAGTCGGTTTTGAGATTGATGCCAAAAACAGATGAGTACAAGAACTACATAACAAATAAATAATAATATACCCTAAGCCCATATTAATTATCGCAAGTAGTATAAAAAAAATACTATAAAAGTATAAAATAATTATTAATCTATTCTTTGTCACTTGAAAGCGCATAATTAGTCAAACGGAAGGGCGCAAGGGTCTGCTCGACCTATACGGTTCTATCCAATTTTGTAAACTCCTCTGCGTATAGGTAAAGGTAGCTGCACGCTGCACGGTGAAGGCGCTCACGGCTATAGTATAATAGACAATTATTGTATTGTATTCATTGTTGAACAGCTCTCGGTCTCATACTGCACACAGCCACACTCACACAGGTTTTATTTGTTGTTTTCGTTCGGAACATTGCCGAATGAAACAAATATTTTGTATTTTTGGTCCGTCGACGGCAGGTACGAGACGACTGCCGAGTTCAGACATCCCGTGACAAATGAGTAATGATGACTGCAGTGTCCGGCGTCGAAGGTTAATAATTCGTTTGGATCAATATAATTACGAGATTACATAATATTATCACGCGTCGTATCTTTAGCGATTACGGTGGAATCTAATGGTCTTTTTAAAACGGTTTTCGCTTGTATAAAACAACCGCATTACACACCATGGAATGTCGATTGTTTTAAAATGAATTGTCCTATTGTGAGCGCAATGTGACACGTTATATTGTTTAATATAGACACTGACACTAAAAAATACCCAGAAATTATTATCACACAGTTTAGTATTGGTAGAAATTGAATACATCCGAATTACTGTTTGCACACCATAGACATATTATAATTTATAATAATATTGCAGTATTGCACCTATTTTATACACATGGGAGGCCAGGTATGTCATGCGGTGCTCAGTGTGGTACGATAAATGTATTATTATAAAATAACAACAAATCGCGTATGTGCTTCGGCTATATCTGTACCTACCTAGTACCTACAGTACATGCCACATTGCCGTCTGAACACTCTGAATGCCAAAAGCAAATAAGTACATGTAATAAGACGCATAATATGAATAACGATTATATTTTCCAAGATATCTGTATAGACTCGGGATAACACGGACAATAGTAAGCTTCATATTGACTCAACATCATAGATTACACATACATATTATATTTTGTAGCCACCGCTACATAATAAGCCACATTGACCACCGTAAACTCACATTGGTCAGGGGTCGCAGACACGATCCTGATTCCTGAAGATTGTTGCATTTTGTTTACTCGAGTACGAGGCAGGAGCGTGTAATGGTCAATGCAGGTCGATGCAGGCGCACAAGCCATGTGTGTACCATGTCTTGAATTAAATATTTAAATAATGCAGATTGTAACGTTATTTCAAGTTACAACAACCGCTTGATTGTGAGGTATCTATATATCAAATAATGGGCGGGAACGGCAGGGAAGAAACGGTTTACGATACAAATAACTGCAGAGGTTGATGTTTAAGATTTCATCCGAATCACAACCTCACGTCCGCACAGAATGTCAGAATACGGTCGAGTCACTCGAAATTCGAAGGTGAATCGTCACGATAAGTCGGATGGTCGGTCATGGTTTTGATAGTTTTGTTTTTGTAATACGTATAACTATAATGTAAATACCTATCCACTCTACTAGCCGATTTTCTTTTTCGCTCTACAAAGTACCTATACCTATTCCTGTACGCCGATATCTATATTCTATACGAAGGTAGGCGCGTTGTAATTCGGAGATATCGAAGTGGCTCCAGATAACAGACAGCTCGGTAAGGATTTAAGATAATCTGAAATATTTTTTTAAGTTATACCGCGAAATAATATATTACCGGTTCGCACGTTTCGAGTACCTACTTACCGACGGCGTGCATTCGCGTGAAAAACAAGACAAGTAGTAAAAAACAACCGATTACGTAAATAATTAATACGGTGGCATCATGCGAGAACGCGGAGAACGAGATACGACAACGACGGTTTACAAGATATGTATGTACTACGTGATGCGTATATAAGTACACGTAGTGCACATAATATTTTTATTGACGTCGACTGTTGATACTTGGTCGATTCGTAGCAAATAATATTGTAATGACGATAACAACAATAAATAATAATAATTAATAAACCAATGTCGGTGCGAAAAAAATAATATTATACGATGTTATGTTGACCGACAACACGCATAATACAATATTGTACTAACTACTAATAAATAATATTAATAACTGTTACGACAACGGCGGCGGCGGCGACCGGTTACACCACCGCCCGCGACCTGTTGCGTATGGACAGGGTTAACATAGTATCAGTGGTATCGGTGGCGGCTTATCAACGCGGTCGTGTGTGTACGAAGTTGAAATTTGAAACATAATATTATTTTAATATTTTATGGAACCACGTAACTGTAAATGGTAATCGCGATAAGTGCGTAAAAAACATCAAACTTTGACTTACTTGTACGTATAGGCGGCGGATGTGTCTTGCTTTTGATGCCGGGTGTGACGGCGGCAGTGGTGGTGCTGGGGGGCGGCGTCCAACGTACACCATCGTCCGCGCCGGGTCTGACCTGTTGAATGCCCGCCATCGCCGTGGGTGAATGCGTTTTCCTCTCCGTCACCGACTACGTCCGCGGCGGCCACCGTCGTCGCTGTGGGAGCAACGACTACACTTCTCGGCTCTCACCGAGCGGCCGTGTGAGTCAGTGTCGCACACGCGCCAGCGCGCGCGCGCGCACGCCCGCTCTCACGTCTACGGTCGCGCGGCGGACGGTGGCGATCTATTACTTTTATTTATATTTCTGATTTTATTTTTTTTTCAGAGTGTGTTCGATAACTCTGTTCTCCACGCAAATGACCGCCGGGCAGGTTTTAGTTGCCCGAGTGCGGACGAGAGCGCACGAAAAGGGGAACGAGTACTCGCAGAAAAGACGACGGCCAGTGGACGGTGGTAGCTCAATGTCGGGCCCGCGGCGGACGTCGTGGACCGCACTTGTCGTACGTGCTGATGGCAGCCGACGACGAAGTGCCCAAGTGCGATTTTAAAAGATTTTAAACGAATTTGAATCTATTGGATTTTGAGAAAAAAAATTAAAATACCTACGAAAAGCTTCTACAGAACGACGGGATGAGGGAGACGATGTAAAATAAAATCACACTCGTTCGGGAGACGTCAGCTCAGCTCGCGATCTGAGCACGGACGTATGTGCGTGCGTGTATAATACGTATTAACGTATGTGTGTGTGCGTGTAACACTTGCACAATACTACCGGCGGCGCTGCCGTCCTGCCGAACGTGTGCGTATCTGTGTGTGCGTGCCGACTACGTGTTCGTACGTACGCGCACACACGCGGAGCGCTCGCCCGCCGCCGCCCTCCCGCCACCCGCCAACTCGCACAATAGCCGTCTGCGACGAGCGGAGCGGGCCCCCACTAACACCGCCGCCGGTTCGTGCTCGGGGTGCCCGCGTTCCGTCGGTGGGGCTTGGTCTTAACGTGGAGCAGGGGGGAGAGCAGTAACTAAATTGTGGCGGGACGGGAGCGAGGGACACGGGTGTGACGGCGGCTGTCGAATCCACCGGACGAGATAAACGTTTAGCACTGAGCGATACGCACTGTGCGACGCCAGCGACGGCAACGATGGTTTCACGAACAGGCTGGTGGTGGCGGCGGTTTAGGTTGAACGGCGATCGGAGTCGCAGCGGTGCAGCACAGTCGGGTTGAGGGAACTCAGCTGTTGCGGCCGCCGCCAGACGGTCGTGCTAATAATATTATTATAAACGTGTATCCGGTCGGCGACGACGTGACCGCTCCCGGTGGCCGAGACCAGTTGGCACACAACTCGTGATGTCCATCTACAAATAATTATATAATTAATACACCAATAAAAGTTTTTTTCGTCATATTTATAAGTCAAAACTTATCACAGGGTTGATTGCCGTACACGTGCTGACGCTTATCATTATTGACAAACAGAATACTTGTGTTCATTGAAAATGGAAAACTATCATAATTAATTACAGAATCCAGAATATTATGAATTTATGTAGGTAATTTTAAAAATGTAATTTTAATTATACTTCGGTACTTTTAGCCCTCCCCACCGGCCACCAATGAAAATAACTTTTCTTAACTTCGTTCATTGGTGGATGAAGAGGGTCAAGAGGGCTGTCGGCGGTCGCCCCCCCTCCCTTGGGCTGTGTTTTTAAGTTGTATTTACATTTTTATTTTGGTCCGAAGAAAAGGTAATATAATTTTGAAAATGCACCCCTTTCCCTTGTTTGAATTCTAGATCCGTTAATGATTGCGTTGAATATAATATTATAATTTAGACGATCACTGAAAAGTACCAGGAACTTCATATAAATTCAACTACTTACTTAACTTTAGTAAATACCTACCTACGTCTTATTTAGAATTAAAAGTTACAGTTTGAAAAATATGACAATCTATATTTGCTACTTATATAGTTATATAGGTAATAAAAAAACAGTTTTATTTAATAAATTATAATGTTTAGTAGATTAATACAATTCATAGAAACTATATGTCTATATTCTATTATATTATTATATACCTTGTCAACTGATCGTGCACAGCGTTTTCCGTGACAAACTGACAAATTAAATGCTCATGGAATACTATAGGATGAGGATTTAACCATTTTGAATTCCTTTAAATGTAAGCTGCAAATTGTAAGCTGCACACAGTTATTTTGACCAAATATAAAATATAGATTTAAAATTATATCCAATCATGATAACTTTTTTATTTTCTATAACCATGCTACGTAAACAATAAATAAAAATAAATGGTATGATGGTCCTTCACGAATCATCCAAATTTAACGTTTATTTGATGAAAAGTAAAAAGTAGTAAACAACACCCTACGGATCTTTCTGAATCTAATGACGACAATTTTAAGAAAATTGGTCGAAAACTCTGGATTTCCTTAAGCGGATGCTACAGCCGTATGTGTTGTCTCCTTCTTACAAACGTGCAACATAGTAAAAACTATTTTGGGCGAAAAAGAACCACTCGAGCTGTAGTCCAAGCTATGCAACCAAATTTTCATACTATTAAGAGAACAAATAAAAACACAGTTGCATAGAACATATTTTTCTCTTGTTTATGGTGTGCAAATTTGGTTTCTTAGCTTAGACTACAGTTTGAGTGATTGTGTTTCATAACAGTTTTTGCTATGCTGTACGTTTGTAAGACGGAGACAACACATCCGGGTGTGGCATCCTCTGAAGCAAATCCAAAGTTTTTGACTAATTTTCATAAAATTTTCATTTAACATTAGATTCAGAAAAATTCATAGAGTGTCATCAACTACTTTTTACTTTTCAACACATGAATTGATCTCGAGGATCATATATTTTAAGTCATTGATTTAATATGGTAGGTATATTTTATAGCTGAAAGATAATATACCAGACTTCGCCCAAATTAAAATTTATTTATTTTCTATTGTTTTACGTTTGGTTTCAGTTTATATAAATATTACAATGACTAATTTTATGATTTTCTATTTCTTAATTTATTTTGGCCATAATATGTTTGATGTATATACTCATAACTGAATATAAAATAACAGATTCAACAAACGCTTAAAAGCTAACGTAGATCCAATATCCTTATCATCGCGGTATTCATCTTTATGTGTTTATGTTAAAACTATTTACAGAATTAAGAAAGTAAATCATAAAAGTAACAATTGTGATTGGGTTCATAAGTATATGTATTTCATTTTAAGATTAGGTTTTTTCTAAATTTTTCTACTACTTATAATAGTACCTAATAATAATTAATATAGTTGGTCATTTGAAAAGCAAATGTAATCACCTACCACAGGTACCTCAATTTAGGTTTAAATTTACAATCTTAATAATATCACGAAAGCAGGAAGTCCATATATTATTTTATACCTACCTTTATTTTATGTACATTATTATATTAATATAACGTTCTTGTAGTACAATGAACTTCATTATTATATTGATGATTTATGTTTAATTTAAATATACTTTAAATTTATAGTTTATACATATTAATAAATATTTATATAATAAAAGTAGGTACTTATTTTTAAATGGGATTTTGTTGGTCAGTTCATACTGTTCAAAGACTTCAAAAACTGTTTGGCCACCTTCTAATTTATCGAATGAATACCATTTAAAAATGCCAAAAAAATAAAATACCATTATTGGGTATACTATAACATATTTTTTTAAACTTAAGTAAATTGATATAAAATAATATATCAGTAGATCCATTTTAGACACTTTTGAAAATATCTCTTTAACATAATTTTTAGTCATTAAAAACAACATTTTTCTAAAAATTATATTTTTAATACTTTTTGTCGTTGTCATTTTTAAACTGTTATACTTTATTAAATGACAAAATGCATTTGATATTCCATATTTTAAAGTAAAATATTTTTTGCAATACATCGATATATTATAAAACTCGAATTTTGTACGAGTAGTTTATAAGTCAACTGGTATGTATTTAATTATTTAAAGTTTAAATGAACGGAGTAGAATGGTAGATATAGGGGTAACCCAAAAAATGTTTATTCTTACACTATACTCATCTAAATTTTAAATACTTATAACTAATAAATTACTGTCCTCGAATTTAATTTATATAGATCGAAATACTCCGAATAATATTCTGCTTTGAAATATGAAATTAAAAATATAGGTATGTTGTCGTTCAAAAGAGTAATCAACTTAACAAATTATAACGATTACAAAATAGTAAGTTATAATTTTTTCCTTAAAATGATTTAGATGAATATTTTCAAAAACATCAGTGTCTTCTGAAATAAGAGTGTTTACGTTAAATTGATCACCACTCAAACAATAATATATATACTATATTTTACTAGTAAGATAACGTTAAGATTAGTTTACCAGCCAAAACTAATGCTTACACTTGTGCTGTTTTTTATTTTACGTAATATGTATTATGTGGCGCAATATTTAAACATTGATTTTTTATGATGCTCATCACTCAAATATAAATCCATATTTAAATAAACATCCGTTGTTAATAAATAAGAGTGTGCACCTACTTACATATTTTATTTAAGTACCTACCAAATGATAGTTAATAATTATCGTGTTTGATAAAATATGTAAAATGATGTCCAAAAAATCAATCTATTCTATTCCTAAAACAAAACTGGTAACTTTTCGAGTCTTTGAGACAGTTATTATATAGTTTATAAGTTTTTATTTTTTATAATCTTATTATTCCTATTTAAAACTGTTATAAGAATAATTCAAAACCAGCATAATGTTTAATGTTATCTTTCATAATCTACCCGGATTCTAAGTTTAATTTTTTATTAATTCTATACATTTTAACTTTTAAGTAACTTAGTTCATGGCAACTACTGGCATGTATGATTTTAAAATGATGTACCCACTATGTTTTCCATTAACTTCTTAACTAAGCCTTATCCGAGTGACAATTTCCTGAAGATCACAGGCTCGATTTTATCACCAATTATATTTTTCTAAGATCTCTATTGAAATATCTTCCACTGCACATATTATATGATTAATGATAAAAAATACCAAAATACTTAATGCTATTGTAACCTTTTATAATTATTACCTATAGTGCTATTTTGAAGGTGAACTTGGTGGTTCAAATTACATGTTAATATGTTATTATATACATATTAAAATGTTTCCAATATGTTATTTTTTAAGTACATTTTGTACTGATCTTTAAAAATTCAAATGCTTAGGTTTTTAAATACATTCGTGGTTATAATGGCCCAAATATTTTCTTAAGCGGGAAAGGGAGACAAACGTAGAAATTTACCAGCCGGCACCCACCCACCAGTTTTATGAATTAATCATGCAATATAAAATTTACAATATAACAATTAATTATATAAATATATAACTTAACCAGCTACTATATAGGATTCTCCGTATAATACACACATACATACCAACAATTTATTTTTTTGGTGGTGGGGCAAGTGCCCTTGCTCCCAGGTGCATATTATAAGCATAGTGTACATAGTTGGAGAACCCTATCAAAATTCTATTCTACGATTAGCTCTAATCTCAATGAAATAACGACTTTGCTATCAATTATCTGTCATCACTCATCAATTAACAGATTCTGTTCTGAATTTTGAATGTTCCAAAAGACGTTTTAACTTTTGATTGAAATTTTAAAATAAAGAACCGAAAATGATATTTCCAAAAAAAATAAAAATAAAAAAACACATAAATGAAAAGCACTCCAAGCAATGACGTCCTCGGACGCTAGAAAACTAAATTGTTTTACCTCACA